AGGATTTTAGGTTGAATCTACAGAAATATTGAATACAAATCTAAAGATGTTATAATTTCATTGTATAGGTCACATTTGGAGTATTATGAAGTTGAAGGGAATGTGATTAAGGTGTTTAAGATTGTAAAGTGAATTGATAGGGTTGATGCATCATCTTTTTCCATACTTAATGGTGAGCAATGGTAGGGCAAGGGAACACATATAAATTTTGGCAAGGTAGGAATTTTCAGCTAAGACAGTTTTATTTTTGTAATTGGGTGGTTGGCCTTTGGAATGGGTTGCCTTCAGATGTTGTGGAGGTAGTAAATTTAAGTGAGTTTTAATAGAAAGCTTGATAATTATATGAATGAGTAGGGCTGACTTTAAGATTTTAACTTTTATTTTAATTAATTTTGTTAGTTTAGTTTAGAGAATGAGACAGCCATGACATACTGGCCCAACTTAACTTTTAGCTTAAAAATGTAAACAAATATTTTCAGTTATATATGCTTGTAGAATTTCACATATAAGAGACCCATCTTTTGAATATTGACCTTATTTCCTGTGCTAATTTGTTTGTTTTGAATTTCGCATAAAGCTACACGAAGGCTATCTGCGCTAGCCATCCCTAATTTAGCAGTGTAAGACTAGAGGGAAGGCAGCTAGTCATCACCATCCACCACCAACTCTTTTACCAGCGAATAGTGGGATTGACCGTCACATTATAACGTCCCCAAGGCTGAAAGGGTGAGCATGTTTGGTGTGATGGGGATGGAACCCGCGACCCTCAGATTGCACCTGTGCTAGTTACACACAGTACAGTTTGTTATGCTAGTATGTATGGATAAAACATAATTATGAAAGTAATGAACTGTTAACCTACACCTACTGATTTATGTCATGTAATGTACATGATCCTTAAGTCTTTATTGTAAAATATACTATTCCACTTGAAATCAATGCACAACATTGTATACATGTACTGTTGAGTGCAAGTTACAACTTATAATCTGGAAATTATCAAATTGCAAAAATAAAACAAATTAAAATAGTGATACAAAACAAAAAATTACACTTGTATTAAGGCTCCCACCATTCTGAATCAGGAATCTCTTGAAACTCAGGTCTACAATTACATCGGTGAGCTATGGTGGGTTTGCATTTTAATTTTTCAATACACTTGAAATACAAGTGTTTTCTTGAGCCTGGATTAAACCTAGTTTCTGTGAAGATCTGCTTCTCTAGTGTTTGATATTGGAGTCTTCAGTCTTAAGTTAAGGAAAACCTTGACACTAAATACTGACCAGGGAGGAGTAAAGACTGTCTGCTATCATCTGTGAGTATGCACACTGAGCTATCCTTTTTTGTTTATCTATCTAAAAACCTGTCCAACCTATTTATTCTTACACTAAAAACACAGTTGTAAGAAGTCTCAGATTTCCTGGAAGAACTCTACTGTTGTGTAAAATTGTGTTGAGATATTGTCTTTTCTTTTTAACTGAAAATAAAACACCATCAGTTATTCAGTAATTGTCTTGATACTGTGGTACCATATTTTTCCTTAACTTTTAGCTTAAAAATGTAAACAAATATTTTCAGTAATATATGCTTGTAGAATTTCACATATAAGAGACCCATCTTGTGAATATTGACCTTATTTCCTGTGCTAGTTTGTTTGTTTTGAATTTTGCACGAGGGCTATCTGCACTAGCCATCCCTAATTTAGCAGTGTAAGACAAGAGGGAAGGCAGCTAGTCATCACCACCCACCACCAACTCTTGGGCTACTCTTTTACCAGTAAATAGTGGGATTGACCGTTACATTATAACGCCCCACGGCTAAAAGGGCGAGCATGTTTGGTGTGATGGGGATTCGAACCCGCAACCCTCAGATTGCGCCTGTGCTAGTTACACACAGTACAGGTAAGTGTCAATCTTGGGTATTTTAAAGACATTTCTCACAGACATATTGGTGATCTATTTCTTGGACAACCAATGATGTGGGTAGAGCCTGCACTCTGGGAGAGAAAGACAACATTGACTGCGTGTGTATATAATGTCACACTCTCAGTCTAGAATGGAATATCCTCAGAACCCTCCAAAATATCTAAGAGTGCCATCCAAGGTCCTGTGCACTCATCTGATTTTATTGTGTTCAACACTGTGTTTCAGTCTCTTTTCTATAACTCAGTTGAGTCAAATTTTCAGTTTTAATTATTTAATTTTTTTTTCTTAGTGAGCTCTTAGTTATTTGTGAAGATACTTTTATCTGTCTGGAATCAGTGAACCTGAGAATATCGCAATAAATTGTTTTTCGGAGAGTATTGAAAAATACAGTAATATTGCATCAAAGATGAATATCATGATGTCAGATTGTGTTGAGTTGTTTTTGTGAAAATATATCGGGGTTAACAGGCTATGGAGAAGTTTTTCCATTAATCTAGTCAAGTTGTCTGTGAATAACCAAAAAGAAGAAAACAAGGAGTAAAGATAGACTAGATTTATGCCGCTTAGGCAAGCCATACAATTTCCATGTTTAAATGTCATCAAAGTCATCTTTAACTGTTCCAAACACTTTATGTATATTTGAGTATAGTTTCTATTTTATCCATGGAATCTTGCTGAAGCTTGAAATAGTCAGTATTGTCCTCTAGATCAGTGCCTTCCAATCCTTTCTTGCCTAAGGAACACCAACTTTAACAGAAAATGTCATTTGGTACCACCCCAACACCTTAGGAAAATGCAGCCCAACACGCCACTCTTATTGCCACATGAAGTACAAGTCATCATTAGAGCATAATGCTATGTAACATCTCATGCCTGTACACTGAAACAGCAACAAGACAGAATATACTTTGGTTTCATCCACAAAATTAATTTATAGAAATGATACTTTTCACTTATTTATTCTTCACACATGTGACTTGTCTAGAATTGCAGACCATTGTGCCACAATACACCAGTTGAAAAACCATGCTCTAGATGGTTTTTTTTTCCTGGTAGGAGGATCTTTTCATAACTGGAAAGTTAATTGAAGAACAATATCTCCATGACTTGTTGACTCTAATGTCAGTTACATAGGACTTCTTACACAAGTTAAAACATAGACTCTCAAAACATAACCTGATAATTTACATTCAACTCTGATTTAATTTTTCTTTATTCTTCAATACCACTGAAGAAAGTATCAAGGCAATGACTGAGCTTTTGACACACAACCTCATCTCATCCTTCTTGGACTATCCAAAATATTGGTGAAGTAGCTCATATATATATTTTAGGAAAGAGTTATTTCAGACTTAAAAATCATTTTTACTGACAAATTCAAAGTATTTCAATGATTAGTATGATCACAGTATTGATTTAAGTGATTTTTATGCACATTCTGGACTTGATTTTTGCATTCACTTGACACCATATGATTATTCTAGATCTAGGAATGTACTTAGAATCATGGTTTTATAAATTACTTTAAGTTTCACAAGCATTTCAACTTGGGACATCCAGCAATAAACTTAACTCTAGAAACACATAATCATACATTTCAGGATATACTGTTAACTTGAACAGATAGATCCACAATTATTTACAGAGTAAAGAAAATATATCCAAAATCAATAACTTTACATTACAGATCACACTACTCTTTGCAATAAGAGAAAGAGTATTGGTCAACTCTACAGAATATGGTGCTTGTTCTCTGATAAAAATATAGCATACACAATAAACAACTGAACTTAGGTAGTTTCTGGTAAACAAAAATTACCTAAACACATATATAACAAGTATTTATGATGAATGTCAGAAACATTAAAATAAAACAGAACTCAAAATACATTCACCATATCACAAAAACAAAAATAATTTGGAATCCAACATCACTCTCTTAACATGGAACATGGGTTATTCTGTATGTTAATTATAAATTAACTAAACAGTTTTGAAAGGCTGTGAAACAATACAATCTACCAATCAGAACTGTAAAGAAACTTGCCTTACTAATTCTTCTTATAGGCAAGGAAAGTGTTTTGTCAAAAATGTTATCTATCAGTTCCAGTGAAAAGTATAGATGCTACTTTTATTAGAAAATAAGGCCAATTATTTCATGATAATTTTTTTTAAACATACCTGGGGCAACAGAGCATTAAAATTTAGATAAAATCCAATTACTTAAATTGAGAGTAAAAGTTCAGTAGTACTTTGATGATTGTTTTATTTCAGTTTCTTTTGAAGAAAGTCCCCTACATAAATGATGTTGTCTCATGCTCAGAGAAACTGGTAAAATGAAAACAAGTCTTTCACTCTTAGTCTCTTGTTCAAAGTTTAGGTAACTGAATTACATTTGAGAATCTGAAAAGCTGATAGAGAGAGAGATGCAGTTGAAAATCACTAGGTATACCAAACTCAGATTATCTTATAACCTAATTCTTATTCCTAGATGGAAAATTAAAATACTCTCTTATATTTATAAATGGTTGGTCCTTATAATTATCTACTTGTAAATTGTTGACTTTTAACTCTGCTTGTAACTTCAAAATTTGTAATGTATTTCTTTAAACTTAATTTTGTTATAATTTTGTATTTATGACTAAACTTGTTTCATTTTGTTATGTTCTGTTTTCTGTAATTCTCAATTATATTGACACTGTTAGAGACTTGTTTGACATATTTTTTCACAACGATATATTTCTCATTTGGAGAAGTTTACATTTAAATTTTTGTAATGTACATTGGTCATAATTGTGTAGTATAGTTTACAGATAATTTTACTGTCCAGTGCTCAAAGACTGTGTCTGGAACAGTTTACCAACAAATTTTTGTCTATAGACTACTTTAAGAAGCAGACACATATACCTCTGTAATGTACTCTGGTTACAGACTGTCTGAAATAATTTGGAGATTAAACTTTGTAACTGACACTATACAGACATGTTTATAAAGAACGTCATACTTTCATCTTATGGAGACTATGAAACTAAGCTTATATAAAGTAAGAAACCAGACAATATAATGACACACTGATTCAAAATAATTAAGCCATTTATTATTTTGATTTCTTACAAACAACAAAAATAGGGTTTGTAACAAGTAGTTTTTATTAAAATTTAAACTGCAACAACAATGGGTATAACAGCTTTCTAGTAACAGCTCAGACAATCTGCATGAAAAAAACCAAGTAACTACACGAGGATCTGAAAAAATGAATTTTTAAGATCCTTCTTCCCCACGAGGTGGTTTTATGAATATGAAACAGTACCTTCAAAAAATGTGTGTACAGGAAAATGATCAAATAATCTACATATTGATGTCAGTAAACAGCTAATACTTTTACTTGTTTTTCGTAGGATGATTTTGTGTGGATGATTTCTTTCGGTGATCAACAATTGCTCTCCAAACTCGCAGTTCCATTCCACCTCTGTTACAGTGACAAGAGAGAATAGATGTTTATTAATGTCAATGAAACAAAATAAATTACAAGACTGAAATTTTTATTATTTTTTTTTATGTAAGTATTTCTTTGCTTTCACATAATGTAAACAGAAAATTTCACTATTGTATAATGACAAGTTTCAAACCTGAGTCCAAGTCGTCTTAAATCCTCTCTGGTGAGAAACATTAGCACATCATCCACAGTATAAGCTTCTGTAATAAACTGTTGAGAAAGAAAAATAACAATGATTTAGTCTAAAGTTGGCCAAAATAAGAAATACACACTGGCTCACATCTTATATTACAGACTATATAACTCATTGAAAACTAGTTTCAAGTATTACAGAACTCTTCATTTCAGCTAGATCATTGTGATAAAACATTCCTGAAATAGGCAAAATAACTCAGTTCCATGAAATATTTGTGTTGGAATTTGTTTTTTAGTTTAGTAGTTAAACAAGACAGAAAACCATTATATATTCAGATAGTATTGCTTCATTTTCTAAATCAACAGCTTTCACATAATTTTTAAATACACAATGCTTCTAAAACTTTAAAGAATTTAATCTATAAAAAACTGTCATGATATAAAAGACTGTTTAGTTTAGATATTATTGATTAATTTATTTTTATGATTGGAGATTTTGTTATTATTTAGTTTTTGTTATAATAAGAGTTATAGACAGACAACTGTAGGAAGTTTTGTTAATAATTCATTGATGTTGAGACTATTGAACATCACGTGCAATACATTGGCGTCAAGTATAAAGAAAGCGAGCAGATGATTAAGTGACAAAGATATAAATAGTGTTAGCTAATTTTGTTTCAAATTATTAATAATTAACTTGCATAACAGGTTTTAAACCTATTAAATTCATACATATACTTTTACATATTTACATCAGTGACTTATTTTCAGTTACTTGGCCCAACAAAGCTTAAGAAATAGCAGCCCTTTCAGCAAAATGGAACTTGATACAGTTGAGTACCTCATCTTATTCCACAAAAAAAACATTTGTTTTCCTATTATACTGCAACTTCATAATTCATATAAAGTATAAAATGATAAAGAAAGTTTTTAAAAAGAAACCAAAGCTGTAACTGTAGGGTAAATTGTTCACAAACATCTTTGTTTCTAGCAACATATCACCAATCTAAGCTTTTGTTTGTTTTAATATCTGCTGAACTGAAAAGAACTTTCATAATGTATTTAAGATCACTAACCTGCGACTTCTCAAAGCTGAGATAAGGCAATTAAAATCACACCATGACAACCAAGGTTGAAAAACAATGATTGGCTAGACACAATAAAACTACACTTATATTCAAGTTACAAGGTCAAATTGGTGCTATTTTTTAGGGGTATGAGTACTGTATTATGCTCTTTATCAAATACACTTCAAAACTGAAGTATAAAAAAATCTCTGAAAAAATTATCATAAGTATATTTTGAATAATTTGTTTAAAAAATCAATAATGCAATTTTTTCCTATAGGGCAGGATTCACCCAGCTGGTTGAAGTAGAGTTAAATACCTAAATGAACACTACAGGTAACACTTAAAATTAATCAATTAATTTAAAGAAATAAAAAAAAAGTTTTATATAATTATTTATTTAACCCTATCACCCCAGGTACCCTTTACTGCACATGACACGAGGCTTTAGTGTCTTACATTCAAAGTTTTATTAAACTACTTTTTGTTTATGTTATACCAATTAGAATAGCATAAAATCTTAGCTAATAATCCAGATTTTAATAGTATACAAGTTTTACGTTCTTAATTCTAAAAGGAAATATATAAAAAATCCTGAATTTCCACTTGTGTAACACACGACACATTTTGTCTTAGCATGTCATTATCCCTATTTTATCC